ACTACACTGGGCTCCCTGAAAAGAAGTATGGAGTTCTTGAATTAAATGTCTTTGTTCTCCTGGATCAGGCACCGTTATGGCTCCTGACATGCTTATTTGTCACATAAGACTACTTCCCCATAACCCATATTTTTTGTTTGAAAACATAGTCTTTTCCATTCCTCTGATAAAGATTCTCTAATTACAAGATTCTGTTAATTTGGTAGTTGTCTTACTCACATTGGAAACAGAGAAAGGGTCCAAGTGACAATCTTACAGCCAAGAAGTCAAAAATATCCAGATATATTTGGAAAATTTTTGCGTTTTATGGGTGGGTTTTGTATGGCAAAAAGTGACAAAAAATCGCAATGATAAAAAAGACCCCTGGAGAACAGTAACTCCAAATTGGGAGGAAAGATGGTTATTTCCAGTTTTGTTCCTTTGTTGCCTCCTGATAATTCCCCAGCTTCTCATCATGACATACAGCGTATTATGACAGGAACATGAAAAATTAAGATGGCATTGTGCTATATGAAAAGAAGGGCTATTGAGACCCACATCCTATTATGCTATGTTGTTAGAACACTTACTATCATTCCATATGGAGGTGGGCTTGCAATGCTGTTCTCCTTGCTCTTTTGCCACTGCTGGCATGACGAGGTAAAGAAAACTCTCCTAAGCTTCTATCGCCCCTATTTTATGTCAGAATACTTAACGGCTAGGGTCATCTTGGTGGTGTTAACACAGTGGAGGAATAAAGTGGAGGGGGACTAAAGAATAACCCATCCTGCCACTGGAAGATTCGTTAAGGAGAAGGGTGTTAATATATAAGAACTCTTTTAGAACAAAATTAATATACAGAAAGCTTAATTAGTAGGGGGGAAGATGTGTGAAACCCACATTTTGATTCTCAGAATATAAGAGAAGGATCACTGACTAAGTGCTGAATTTTGCCAGGTGCGTTATGCAAATAGAGGCCGTGATGGTTTCAGTACCGATACACGGAAGGAGCCCCTCCGTTGTACAATTCTGGAAGCTTCCCCACAATATTCTATCAATTATAACAAGGCTATTCAGAACATTTCTCCGTGTATGCGCTGAACACAGTAAATACTTTCCTACTCTTCACTGGTGGGTCTCCCAATAGGTAAGATAAGCATTGCCATTTGTACTGAAATACAATTCTAATCAGAAAATATTTCAGTTCCCTATTTTTCTGTTTACCTATTATCTACTTGATTACCTTTTTATAGCCTATGAAACAAACTCTGCATTGTTTTTGTTTGGTTTTTATTGCTTTCTTCTCAAAACAGCTGAGTTCTAAGACTAGCGGCAGCTGAGTGAAGTATGTTGGGCTCATTAAACATTACAAACAGCTGTGCTCACCTTGAGTTTCAAAGTACAATTTATCATCTGTTTTGTGAATCAAGGCTATGGCCTTGTTTACTACAGAAGAACTGACATCAGAGAGGATAACCTATTACTTAAAAATTTTAGGTTACATTGGACACAAGGTGTTTGCGAGACAAATGCTTTAATAAAAATATCTGACAGGCTTTTCTATTAGAATAACTGTGTATGGCTATCCATATCTCATATTGGCTGTAGAGAACATTAAAATATCTTTCACCAATTTTAGAGGGATGGACTGCAAGAGAAGTTAATTACCTCCGATTCTTTAAAATAAAAAGTCTTCTCACTTATATACAAACAAATGTCAGATACACACACAAAAATGCCAAACTATATATAAATTTAAATTTATTAATTCTAAGGTAGGTTCAATCACACAATAAATAAGCATATTTAGAAAAGAATGAATTAGTTTCAAAAATAATAAATTATCTTTTCTACACATAGAACACTGAAGCCTTTATCTTTTATAAATATCTTAATATTGGTAACATATCTAGATATAGGTTATTAATATCTTATATCATTTGGAAAGCTACACTAATTTTTTTCTTTATATAAAAAAGTTAAATTTTTAATTGCAAAGAAGTTCACCTTAGTGCGTGTATATATATAATCTATATATATGATATATATTATTCCAATATTCTAAAGTACTAGCAAAGTAATGAGGATTCAATGTCCCCCAAGTTTAATTTATTTTTATGGCTACATAATCATAACATCAATAACCACTCATGAGGAATATCCACCTAACTTTGATCCGATTAGCATAAGTGACTGATATTTTCTTTTTCTAATTGCTACTTGCAAATATATAGATAACTTTAAAATTGGCAAACCACTGATCGCAGGGCTGCCAAGTGCTTTCATTTCTCCTCTAGGACAAAAGGTCCCTGCACTCTGCAAACCGTAACCTTCACCTCCATATGGACCACTGCCAAGATCTGCTCCCATGGACTTTTGTTTTATCAGAGTCCCTGAATCTAACTTGAAGCATCAGTTATTATGGTTATTTGGTATTGTTTTCAAGAAACAAACAATTACAGAAAAAAAAAAAACAACACAAAACTATCATGAAAAAAAGTAGGAATGTTGGAATGTTGCCTTTTGCGCTGTCTAAAACGACCACCATTCTTTGAGAATGTGCCTGGTTATTCAGAGTAAATGCAGTTCTTTTTAATTTGCAGGAGTGAATACTTTGTTCCCTGAGCAAGTGCAATAAAACACTCAGTTATAAGGCAAGGCTGACTGGAAAATGCTGGGTATAAATAGTTATTCCTTAAATGTTTCCGGCACTGGCAATGATGAGTACCTCTTCTGATCCATGATCAAGTGAAGCTGGCATTTTTTTTTCTGCATAGCAAGTGAATTGGTAACAATAATAACAGCAATAATGTATGAGTCGCCACTATATGATATGATCGCTAACATCTCGGAGGCATTAATTACATCTCTACTGCTACCTCACAGCAACCTGAATCCACTTCTTTTTTCACATAGAAAAGTTACGTTACAACTCTCTGGACTAGGTCCACTTTGTTGCCCTAAAGCAACACCTTGGTTTGGAAGAGACTGGATGAGGCTACCAACCTATAAAGAACATTAGACTGTGAAATTTGATTCTAAGAATAAAGATCGATATGGTCTAAAGACATGCTTAGCTAATGACAAGGATCTTTGCTTCAATTCAGAAGAGTGATGATTTTCTCATAAATAATACAGATATAGTAAAACACCAGGGCATTTAGCTAAATCGCTTAGCATTATTTGGCTTCTAACCACTGCTCTTTGTTAATGGAATCCTCAGGTACTCACCACCTTCATCCACTCCAAAACTATCTACTGAATATCTTGAATATAAAGAAAATGACAAAATGGTAGCATTTTGCCCCAAAATTATTCTTCTGAAAAGTGGGTTTTGCCTTATCATCTGATCTTTATAAAAACTTCCATTTTCCAGGTTTCTCTCCTATACACTTTAATAGTCAAAGTACTCTTTGGAGAATTCACATTGGCCTGAAACAACCTCCATCAATACTAGTTTTGGGGGTGCTTTATGGAAGTCACCTGATAGGAAGCATAAAATAAGGTAAGTTTTTAAAAAGTATTTCCACATATGGATGTAGTTGTACACAAGCCTTTTAAAAAAACGTTTAATGCATTTCAATTAGTTCCTGGCGAACACAAAATATACAACTACAGAAAGAATATTTGAAAATGCTGCTTGAAAGCATAAATGAGTTCTTGGCGCCTGAGACAACGTTTACTGAGACATCAACAATCACAGATTCAAACAGTGTTGTATCTAAACACTGAGATGGAAGTAAAACACAATTTGCTCTGGAAAACTGGTCGATAACTCTACATGTGCTTCAGTGATGAAAAAACTACTGTCAAAGGCACATGGAACCTCTGAATTAAGCATTTTCATAAACTGTAAGTTTCAGAAGGAAAATTTCTAAATCAATCTAAGACTATATAAACATTTGCAAGTAAACTGATGAATATTACAAGTCATTACTGAAGTATTTCATCCACAACCCTGAGAATTTATATATCCATATTGGCTGAAAAAGCATTTTTGGATATTCTCACTAGGCATTTCCTTAAAATTGAGATCACCTTATTTGGGGGGCTTATAGAGTAGTGATTTCCATTGGTTCATTTTTTGAAGGAGGTTGAGGAGAACTCTTTTTTTTTAAACTAAGTTCATATATCCCATCATTTTTGTAATATAAAGTGCTTCTAATTAACATTCTCTTTTCCAGAGTTTGAGCTACCTCAAACTCAGAAGTTCAGAGGTTACACAAATATAGAGAGTAGACCACATTCTAAAATTATGATATAACAACAACAAAAATGCACTACTGCATTAATAGATAGATCCATGTTGTGTAATAGTCTTCATATTCATCAATTTACTTGGTAAATAGCATCTGTCATATAGGGGCTTAAATTGTTAGTCAGTACAAGGGGGTAATTCGGCAATGAGTGGAGACGCATCCTCTGATCAGACACTGGAACGTTTGGATTACTCTCCTCCATAGTCAAGCATAATTCAGCACAAAGCATGTCAGTTCCAGCCTCTGTCTATAAGTTCCAGGTAGTGAAGCACCGAGAGAAATTTTGTATAAAACAATGGCAATGGCAAAGTGGTTCCATGGCCAAGACTTTGGCTACTGTTACAGAGAAGTGCCAGCCAGCCAGATTTAGGACCCCATGTACTGTACCCTGTGAAGAATAAAACACTGTCTACACACAGTGCTGCAAGAAGTCAAATCTGCCTTCTGAGGACCTGAAGAAAAGCTTGACCAAACATTTAACAAATAAAGAAGTCACGACATGAATCATCCGTAAATATATGTGAAAGCTAAATGGACTAGCACATTATCTAATCGTAGGAAAATTACTTGAAAAAGATAATTTTGCGAAAAATGTGAAGTGAGAGAACTTGTCTGCACCTTTTTTTCTTCTGTGACTCTGACTGAAAGAGTATGATTGCTCTGTACATGCTTCTACTTAGTAAAACATTTCACTTCTGCCACCGGATCACTTCAAAGCAGGAAATAAATAAAAATGAATAAAAAGATGAAAATTTTCTATACCTGAGAAATCTGCTGCTAAGAGATCTACCGCCTTTAAAACCTTCACTTGTAAAATGCCGACGTCCTTCATATTTTTCAGGGAGTTCTGTAAGCTCTGGGGGGGAGAAAAGTAGATCACAAATGAACATAGCTTTCTAATATACTGTTTAATGCCAAAAAGTCCCTATAGGAAGTACCTCCTAGAATTATCATCATCTTTCTCATGCAATGCTAAGAAAAGTTCCAATGTGCATTGCATCAGTCAACAGGAAACTTAGACATTTGCAGCAACCAGATTAAAAGTGACTGAGAATTAATTAACTCCCCTTTCAAAATAAACAAATTACAAAGCACATGCAATCTACTTTTAACATCACCCCCTGGCGATAGTACAGACATCCCACCGGGAAAATGGGTGTAGAACTACATTCATTCTCTTTTCCCCCTTTCTCTTTAATGAAACTTTTAAATCATCCGAAAAGGCAACATTATTCTGACCTAGTTAGAACAAACTGTATGGATATCAGAGGACTAAACTTGGACCCTCTATAGATACTTATTACTACCAGAAAGAGAGTAGGGATGGAAATGGAATGAATTTTCTAGTCCATGTTACAGCCAGCTCATTAGAGACTGAGCATCTAGTACTGCTCTGTAATCACATTTACTTTCATTTTTAGTTTGCATGTGCCAAAGCTCTAATATATCTACTGATAATTCTTAAGCCTGTATAGAAATATTTAGATGTCTATGCACATTGCATTCTTTAGAAATTGTGCATGAGATAAGAGATAAGCAAATAAATGCTCTTTGCTTGCCTCCAAAACACGTTTGCTGAAAAAGATGCTGCTTTCAAACCTTTGGATACAGTATTTCCATCATCATTAGATAACTGAAAACCTGTGATAAGTGGACCCCAGGGATTTATGGAAGGGTAGTAAAATCCTTGTTATTTAGGCATTTCAGGAAAGAATAACAAAAGCTTAATAATAGCTAAGGTTTGCCTAACGTAAACCTTAGGAAGCACCATTCCTAAGAACTTTTGGAAGTTGTTTCTTCAAACAGAATTTTCAATCTTAAAAAAAACAAACAGAAAAAAAATCTAGTGTTTAAGCTAAAATGGAAACATCTGAGATAAAGTACTTTCATAATTTAGAGGCAAGATGCCTTTGAAGATTATCTATTCTTAAAACCTAAAACACAAATCCAGGGGTCTGCAACTTGTGTCTTGTAACACAGTATCTTTCCCTCTAGCATGCTGGTCAGCTCCTTAGCTACAAAAAAATATAAAACAAAATGATATTTTTATTTGATTACTGGCTTTTCAAATCTCTTTTCAATGAGTATTCCTCGAATCCTGAGACATTATTCAAAGCAGTCATTATGATCTCACCTAATGTCACCTTATAAATGCATGACACTCCTCATGAATTTGGTAAATTGTGCAATTTATCCATGGAAAAGTTTGGGGAAGTGTTTTATTTTCACTTGCTTAACTAAAGTCATCAAAGAGAATATTAAAAGTGGATTTTGTCAAAACTTCTTTAGAGTACATCTACCTTGCATGCAGAATCTTGTGTTGTCGTTAAGATGTGTGGCTAGGCTTTGTACTCCTGAAGATAAAGGTTTATTCAATTAATCAATACGCCTGCACAGTGAAGGAGTCTGGAGGCACTAAAGTTTATGCTGAGAATAATATTCCCATTAAATAGGTATTCATCTTTGCTTCACTTCCATGCCACTTTCCTAAAACATGCCTTTCGTGTGTGTGGCAATAAAATAAATGTATTGATTCACAAAGAAGATGGAATAAAACGAGAATGCAAATAAAGACACCTAGAAAGCCAGAGCACAAAAAATAATGACAAGGACAAAGCCATTTGATTTAAAAATGCTGAGCGGACTTTTAAGCAAATTGCAAGTACTTAGGCAAAAATCACAAACTGCTCTTATCCAGGGTAGTATGGAATAAGTCTTTCATGCCTGTCTGCAGCTTGGCTTTGCTTTATGAGGCACAAGCGCTTTCTCACTTGATCTTAAGAGGTTCTAGAAAAGTATCTACAACATGGCAAACATTAATATTTGTTTTTTTAAAAAGCAGCCTTTGTGAACTTATATTAAAATTCCTAAAAATGATACAAATGAACTTACTTACAAAATAGAAACAGACTCACAGACTTGGAAAACAAACTTATGGTTACCAAAGGGAAAACGTGGTGGGGAGAAATAAATTAGGAGTTTGGGATTAACATATACACACTGCTATATATAAAACAGAAAATCAACAAGGACCTACTATATAGCACAGGGAACTATACTCAATATTCTGTAGTAACCTATATGGGAAAAGAATCTGAAAAAGAATGGATATATGTGTACGTATAACTGAATCACTTAGCTGTACACCTAAAACTAACACAACATTGCAAATCAACTATATTCCAAAATAAAAATTAAAAAAATAAAATAAAATTCTTATTTACATATACAGACATGCTAAACAACCTTTTGCCCCCTTGAGGATTTCAATTTTCTCCAAAGAGATCCAGGATACTAAAAAATCAAATACCTTTTTTTGGGCTTTTAAAATAGGAAGGCAAACTCTATAATCTACTGTCACCTTCTCACTAATGCATTAACCTCTAGGGTTGATGTCTTGTTTTAGGAGACATACCATTAAACTTTGGACAAAGATCTCTTTGGAGGCAGTTTTTCAATTCATAGACTTTGTTTCAACTTAGAAGTGGGGGTGGGTGCGGGGGTCGGGACGGGGTGTAGCAAGGCAAAGCACTCACGAATCGCTGGGCGATCTTCTTTCTCTCGCTGGGATCTGCCAAGGGGCACACACACAGATCTGAGACGGAGACTCCCGCGCAGGGCATGAGGGTGACCAGCATCAAGAGTGTCCCCAGGCAGCTCTCCAGAGGCAGCTCCAGGCAGTTGGCTTGCTTCAGTGGGAGGGCTGAGATATCCACTTTACACCTGGAGAAGTTGCAGGAATCAGAGACAGAAAAGAGATTAACGCGTGACAGCTGCTGAACCTCCAAAGCACCTGATTTTCATTTCATCCTCCCCATGAAACCTCACGCTGTCTGGGCATGGGCGATTCCAGTTACTAGAATCCAGCGATTCCAGTTACTAGAAGAGGTGGCAATTAGAGCTTTTGCATGTAATAAATTCATCAAGTATTTCTACTGGAAACACATTTATATATGGGCTGGTTGAGTAGTGAAGGTTGCAAGGGCTCCCCTGGCTGGTAACACTCCATCCCAGCCTAACACACCCTGAATGAAGGAGAGAAAGTGATCAAGAAAAACAAAGAAAAGGCAGCGTGGAGAAAGTGGCAAATGAACCTGAGAAGCAGCAGATCTTTGACAAATAAGGTCTGCAGAGAAACGATGAGATCAAGAACTAGGAAGGAAACAGTTTCAAAGTTTCAACACTATGGATGCCGGATCTAGAAGGCTGCTCTGGGCTGCTCTTGGCTGGTCTTCTACCGGCAAAGAGAATAAGAGACATTGGTTCAAAAAAAAAAAGAAGAAAAGATAGGAGCTTTGCAAGCAGGAGAGGGTTAATGGAGAAACCACTTTCTTCTAGATTAATGCCGACTGGCCAGTTTTTATTTAAAGAAATGTGTTAAGGTGTTTTCCTAATAGGCATAGTTCCACAGGATTTCCCCAGGTGGGTTTCTGTTAGACAAATGGAGCGTGAAGTGCTACTGATTGATCCCATTTTGGCGGCACTGCCAGAAAAGGCTGCACCCATCTGCTATAAATTGCATGTTTTCTGCCTCTTAACAGTCAATGTTCTGGCGATGTTGAAAACCTCAAACACATTTAAATACAGAAGCAAACACCCATAAGGGGGGCGCTGAGGTGCTAAGCCATTTATTTGCTTTGACACGAAAAGTCTGGGATTGCCTGGACCACACTTGCTTTGTTTATGTGCAGGTAGGTGAGGTAGGCAGGGCTGAGCGGAGTGAGGGAGGGTAGTGTGTGTTTTTCATTCTCATTTGCCATCTCTAGTTTTTGAATAAGATGACTATTCAAGGCGTTATTTAAAAATGGAAGCACGGCCTCAGAATGTCTGACAGGAATGGATTCTTACCCTTAATCATCAATGGACTTTGTAAGTTTGCAGATAATAGGAAATAGGTAAACTTACTTTATATATAAAGCAAAGACAATTTTGAGCCACATGGATATGGAAAAAGTTCCAGTTTAATAAATTTAAAAGAAAGCTTGCAATCCCTTCCCCCCAAAACATCAATATTAAAGGTCTATACCAGCTTTTACCACAGAAAATATTTTAATAGTGATATGTACCTATAAAATTAAATATATGTGGGTATTTACTTCCTAATTACCAAAAGTGATTCCAGTTACCAGAAGAGGTGGCAATTAGAGCTTTTGCATGTAATCAATTCATCAAGTATTTCTATTGGAAACACATTTATATATATATTTTTTAATAACCCTCTATGATTTGAATCAAAATTTTTTTTTCTGTGCAATAAGGGATATTTCAAAGTTAAAGTTCACTACTGTGAAAAGAGGGGTTAGTAAATATTTCATAAGTATGTAAATGGGGAATTAATTTTGCTTGGAAAGAAAGAAATGTCAAGTGCTTTAACTGTGCCATTTCTACAAAACTAAGTACCCGCAAATTCTGAATAAGTATAGCAGTAGTTCATCTGCTTAGGAATACTTTGCTAAGCATTATTTTCCACTGTTATATACACTTTCATTTAATAAACCTCTTTCTTATGGAAAGACGAATGATCCGAATTTGTAAGACTTTTCTCTAACTAACTTCATTAGTCCAAAGTAGCAATAACCTATTTATGACACATTCATTTTAATATCATTAATAATGGCAGTTTTGTCCTTTGAAGTTTACCTTTTTGTTGTGGTGGTGGTTTTATTTATCTTCTGAACAAAGGAAAAGTTACAGGATCTCTGAGAGCAAATAATGTTTGGGAGTCAAAAATGATGTATAATGAGGAAATAATATTTTTTTCTTGGATAATTCAAAATGGACCTGACAGTAATTCTAAAAAAAGTCATCTAAAAAGACTGTAAGCAATATTAGCATATTTACAGTAACTTTGCACACTCTCCTCCTATCTAAAGGCACAGCTTACTTGAACAGAGCAGTTTATTAACTTAAACAAGTGTGAATCACATCCCAGATGAAATGCAAACTAAATATTGAATTTTGTCTCAGAAATTACACATTTTCACAAACTTTTCAGTCATTTCTGCCCACCGTGAAACTTTTCCACCTATCCCAGTTTTAAAGATTATTTTGATAACGAAGAAAGAAACCCTGCACAAAACATAGCCTTGCCTATTTTAGATAAAAGAGCCCCATAAACACCAGATGGGGGATTTCAGGACAAACTTAATGGATTCTACATTCCCAGTTAACTAATGAGTGAATTCAATCAAATACTTACTTTTACTTTCTTAGTGACTTGAAAGAGCAAATTAAATTGATACATAGGCATCAGGCCAATCAAAATTAAACCTTGATCCTTCTGCACATAGATTATGACCCAGTTTCTTAGGGTCCCTGCCCCATCATATGAATTAATTGATTCTTGAAACACTGATGTCTTTAGTCTTATGAATTAATGTAAAGCTACCTTCTCCCTAGTGTTAACTGCCCGCTCTAAGGATGACTTTCTATAAACTTTCTAGAACTGAACTGCTCTATCCACCTGGCTTCCCCATTCATTTTCACATTCTGGAAGACAGAAGGAAAGATGGGAGTAAGAAGAAATGAATCTCATACAAAACCCTTTCCTCCAGGCCTCCCATTTTTCTCTGTTTCAACCTCAGTCCCCATGGCTTCAGCTCATCCTCACATCTGAAGGAGAACCAGAATGTTCGGGAGGTTAGCCAGAGGCTGAAGAAATATTTACATTAACCCCAAGCTAGGAACTAGCTTGTATGATCAGCAAAAGCAGTAGAAGAAAAAAAAAAAATTAAGGACTTTTCTTCCAGAATTTCAGAATACTTTTACCACAATACTCATTGAATCTTCTAAAGAAAGGTTAAGTATCATATGAACTAAATGGCTTTCTTTAGGCTCAAGTAAAGATAAATACTCTAAAATCTTTAAGATATAATCATTCTGAAATATATTCATCAAAGACATGTTTAATATAAAAAATCTTGAAAGGAGACTCTGGGCTGCTTCCTTAATTTTCTATAGGGTACCAGATTCTACCCTGAGAAAGTACGAAATAATTTGGTCAGTCTCTTCATTTTTTCTCATTGCTACTGAAGCACTACAGAATCTGCTGTTCTTTCCCAAGGCTTTCTGTTAACTGTTTAGTTACCAGTTCTGGGAAAAGTGCAGGGTTGGCCCCTAAGAATGCCTAGGAGAAGAGATCCAGCCCAGCTTCCTGGGCAAATCAAAACACCTCCTCCTCCCTTCCTTCTCGTTCTTATAAACAATACTTGCTCACTCATTGATTCCAGAATTTTACAGGTGTTGTTATATATTCTCTTTCTCTTCCATTTTGTATCCCCTAAGTTTCTTCCCAAGCTCTACCCAAATGGCAACCTTGTATGAGCATTGATGAAAACTGAGCTTACTACTATGGATGCAAATTTTCCTTGAAAAATAAACTCAGTTTTCAGATATGTGGTTTAAAGGGCTCTCATAATGAGTGTTCCAATGATCATTAAAAACCACACCAACATTAATAAGTGATAGGCACTAAGACCATTTTTTCTGTGAAGGGCAAGACAGTAAATATGTTTTTAGTTTGTTGGCTACCTGGTCTCTTGCAACTACTCAACTCTCTTCTTGTAGCGTGAAAGCAGTAATAGACAATGTACACAAATGAACAAGGCTGTTTTCCAATAAAACTTTACTCAAAAGCAAGCAGCCATCTGCATTTGGCCCATGGGCCCTAGTTTGCTGGCCCCTAACCTGGAGAAATGCCAGTCATTCAGCTGTGGTGAATTATAGCAATGGAAGTATTTAAAATATTTTTCCCAGGTTGGTAGCTGACAGTACAAACGCATTGATAAAGGTATCAAGAAATACTGACCTAAGAATAATTTAAAAGAAAAAATAACTTTTAACTCACCATGGCCCATGAGACTCCGGCCAACATATCTAAAGGCACATTTGTTAACAAAAACCGATAAAGCAATAAAACTTATAAAACTGTTCTTCTATCTGAGGAAACAATGTGGAAAACACGTGCTCAGGGCATCCACGTAAAACACATGAGTAATGAGCACTAGCAAATTAGGTCTATTCCCGTGGCATCATGTGTGACTCCACAGGCAAGGGGGGTGACCGTGTTTGGACCATCGTTCAGCAGGTGCTACACACTGGCCCTTAGGTGACAAGGAAATCCTCATTCCGAAGTCAGAACTTAGACCATTCAGTCCGAAAGAGCTCCACTACGATAACAAGCTTTGCATTAGGAACATAAAGTAGCAGAGCACTAATGCATCTGTGTTTAGCCAGGAGCTGCTGCCGTTCATCTGCAGGTCATGGAATCCGATGGTTTTGTGACCTCACTCCTGCCTTCCTCTCTAGTTTGATCGCATGACATCACCCGCCCTTCTCGTTCCTTTCCAGTTTCTCAGAATGTGTTCTCCCTCCTCTCTAAGCCTTTGTCCATGTGGTCCCATCTTCCTGGAAAGTTCTTCCTCCTTGTCAGGCTAACCACCACTCATGTTACAGGTCTCAGCTTAGACTCTCTTCTTCCAGGAAGCTGCCCTTCCACCCCCAAGACGCTGCCCACAACCTAGTGCCTGAGGACAGGATCCACCTCTGAACCCCCAGCACTTGGCAGGATGTCTGATACACGACATGCTCTACATTTGTTGAATAAAATGAACGAACGGACAAATGCATCCCAGTGGCAAAATAAAATTCCAAGTCAAAAACTCCAAATTATAAAGTCAGTGTTTTTTTTTTTTGTTAACCAACTAAATATTCTGTAGTGTCTATTTCCTCCCCTATCTAAAAAAAGAAGGGGAAATAAATACATGTACTAGGTGCCTCCCAGATTGAAAAGTCTGCGGTTCTATTCACCTGGAGGAAACAAGGACTAAATTACTTTTTTTTTTCCTCTGCAAGCTTTTTTTTTTTCTCTGCATATATTAAAGCCAGCCCCTCTGGCCCACAGGCAGTTAATGTGCTGATTTAGCGTTGTTTCTGACCTCCTGTTCCTGTCTTTCTCCATTAATCCCACCGCATTTTAATGTTTTAATTCAACACATAATTTTACCATATCAGTCAGCCAAACCTGCTTAAGTTCCACTTGCCATGATAGCTTTTAACCTCTTATTCATTACCATAATTCTATGCTTTATATTATAGACTGGTCAGCTTTTCACTTAAATGCAAGGGGAAGAAAAGAGTGCTAGAGTTTTAAAAGCTGTACATCTCAGAGGCTAAGGAAGGCGGTGAACAGGAAGAAAATGGTGGCTGTGTCATGCCTGGCTGTAAAAGCAGATCAGCGACATGGGGTGCAGACTGTCCAAAGAAATCCTCTAGCCCTGATTCCCCTCTGCACCACAGTCACCAGTAAACTGGTAGCACATCAGAGCCACTTTCTGAGGCACTGCGTGGGGCTGAGGATTGGCTCTGAGGCAGCCCAGTTAAAATGAACTTGTGCATTCTCATTCTTAAGTTTCCAAACTAAATTAAGTCTAGAATATTCTGTGACAAATTAATCTCCGGAATCACAGGTTATATCTCCAAATATACTTTAAGAAAATGATACAATCATGTTGAAATGGCACAGGTTGACAAGGGGGTTAATCTGTATTTCTACTCTTGCCATTTTGTTTAAAAGTTGGGGCAGGTTATATTTAGCTTTATTTCTTACTCCTCCCTAAAAATTCTGTCTCTAGACCACTGATGGACTCAAAAGACTGGATTGTTTTGGTCCATGAATAAACAGCTGAATTAGTAGGCACCCTGGTCTGGGAGGGCTGTTGGATTTGCCCAAGCACCTTCATCTTACCAGCCCTGACTTCCTCAGGAGTTACCTGTGGCTCAGTGGAAGCCCACAGGTGGACCATGACACAAGGGATTTCAGAAAGTTCCCCGTGACTCAGGAGAGCCTGGAGGAGGCTGGCTACCAGGCGGGGGTGGGCCATGCCTGAACCATCACCAAGCCAGCAACCCACCAATGCCAACGTGATTTCTCTTCACGTAACTGACCACTACTCCAGCTTTCTGTCCACAGCTACAAAACCCAGTATTGTTCAGGCTAATTGACACTGCTCAGATCTCCAGTCAACAAATGTCCTTCCCACCATGTCCTGGAAGACAGTCACTACTCACTTCTACCAAAAAGTATAAAAAATGTCTCTCCTGTTTTGAAGAAACAAAAATATGCTGAATTTTAACTAGTGTTTCAGTTACTTAAATGACACAATTTTAGTTGCAAATGTTGTGGGGATCTATAGTTACCATCCAGAAAAAAAATCTCAAAATTAATAGGAATAATAATAGCTACCAACAAGAGACATTGTTGCCAATTGCCATGATGACCTGCAAATTGGTGGAAAACGCCATTACACAAACAGAAAACCACAAAGTCACTGCCCAAGGTCACGCAGCTAGCAAACACCGTGGTTACCAGCCAGCCCACGAAGTACAACTCAAAGGCTGGTTTTCCTTCCCTCATATCAAACTGCCCGGCAGAGGACTTTCTTAGGCCATGCAGAACTTTAAATTGCTAGCATCAAGGTGTTATCCAAACACAAAATATGAGACAGGTCTGAGGACAGTTATGACTCATTCAACATTGTCAAAGACCCTTCTCATGCAAAAAGTTATTTCCCAACAGCTGGGAGATAAAATAACCGAGGCTTAGAATTACAACAAAGAACAGGAAAACAATAAGTGAACATTTTCAAATAAAAAGGAACGGTAAGTAACAGGTCTGTGATACGCATATGCCAGCACAATCTCTCTTTTAACTCTGACAAGAAGTATGTATTTTAGGGTAGGTCTCACCCCACCTGGAAGTTCACTCAGGGTAATGCTGTGTAGCCAACTCCCAAGAGATACTTTTGTTATCTTTTGTACCTTAGGAGAGGAAAAAGGAAAAGGATACCAAAAAAAAAAAAAAATCCTTTAAAATCCATGAAAAGGAAGGACAGAATGACCACTGGGGCAGGTATACATCTAAGTTACAAACAGGAAATAGCTCAAATAATAAATGACAAAACATGACATAAGAGGGACATCTCCAATTATTCTTTGTGTCTGTAAAGAAACTTAACACTCATTTGGAAAAGCGTTTCCTATTATGTGAAAGAAACATAACAGCACAATGACATGCAGAATGAAAGGCCATTATTTTCTGCACCTACTAAAATAACATGCTGGCCATCCATCACTGGGGGCCCAAATTCCCACCATTCAGATAACGCTTTGGGACACAGAGTTCTTTGCATTTGTGCATTTACGTGACTTATTCCTGCTCTGCTGGCTAGCACAAAGTTTCTGACCCTCCTACCATGGGTGTTGGCAGGGCACTGGGGTGTCACGGTGGTGACCAGGGTGGGAGACACTGGCAAGACTCTGAGGTGTCTCAGTTACCCCATGGGGGAGAGGGTTGGGGGGAGACTAGTAAGGCATCTGACAGGCAAAATCTGTCAAATGCTTGACCACAGGAAGACCTCTCTCCTGGGTTGGAGAGTGTGACATGACCTAGTTTGGTACCCCAAAACACAAACCTGGCCCTGGAGATCTCCAAGGATGCATGGCTACTACCTGCTAGAGCAGCACAGAGCTGGGGACGAGAGGGCTGTGCAAAGCAATGTAAACAGGGCCACGACACGTGGAGGGAAAAGCACCCATGTCTCAGTCAGCAGTGCTGCTCTCCTAGCAGGTGTTTGGACATGTGTGGATGAGCTGTCAGTGTATGTGTGTGTGTGTCTTCCACAGGATAATTGGGGAATGTAGCTGGCATCAGGTGGGTGAGGGCCAGGTTTATTAGGCACCTGGAACATGCCCGGCCGTCCCATGAGACAAGGTGCCTCTGCTGAGAAGCATGGGAGGAACGTTCCATGGCCTCCGAACTCCCACCTGTCTATCTCAGGAGGAGCCACTGAGGTGGGACAGGGTAACGGCAGCAAAAAGAGCCGACGTTCCGTGCACCAGGCTCTGCTAAGTGTTTTACACAGAAAAAGCACTGCATCAGGTATCGGGTTAGCTGGGGCTCATCCCATTTCTGCCCCTAAATTCCTTGCTGATGGAAAAACATGACTTCTCTGGGCCTCTGGACTTCTTCATCTATAAAATGAAGGGGTTCTACTGGATGAGTGTTTTCAATCTTTCATTTTCAGCAGGAAACTCTTCCCTCGAATGGAGCTCTACCAATGTAGAGCACAGGTAAAAGTGGAGATGCTCTGGTTTCAGGAGAACCCCGTTCTCCAAGGGTGACCCCAAGGCATCTCCCTGAACCCAGGGTTCCGGAGAACTTGGTTTGAAAAAGCCCACCAACAGCCGTTGAGAGTCCTTTAAATGCTTATACTTAGGACTGGTGGACAGATTGTATGCATATGGGCTGAACAAAAGGCAGTGGTTTGGTGGCAAAAACTTGGTCTTTGAAAACACAGAATCCTGACTCTCGCAATCGCTGCTCTGAAGTCTACAGCGAAGATGTATGCAAACCTCTTGCACTCCATTTCCTCATCTATAAAACAAAAATAATACCACGAACTTGCAGGGCTATCAGAAAGATCAGAGATGTACGCTTCCACCAGCATCTCCTTCATGCTCAAACTGGAGCAGTCACAGTGCAGGCACAATTGCATTTAACTATATTCTTACTACAATCCTATAAGGAAGCAATGGTACTTACACTATTTTTTATTATGTACGAGTGAGCCCCTCAATTAAGTTGGGAAGGTCCAAAGTAAAGAAATAAAACAAATCTGGCCTCAACAGATTTCATTATGATTTGCCGCAAAGTTCATCGAGGACACTGAAAAGTTTCCATCAGTTTGGGACACCTAGCTTCACAGTGTTACTAAATTATGTGGTATTTCACTAAGTAGCAAAACCCAAATCATAGGGTGCATTGGACACTTATACCAACATTTCCCAAAGAGTCTGAGATGGTACATTATCTTTCTTTAGAGGCTTCCTGGCACATACAATTTTCTTCTGTTGTAATCAATACTAAATTAAAAAAATGAAAAAACTTTCCCCAGGCTAGGGCCCAGCTAACTTATGGCTCCTTGGGGTGGGGATATGAAGTTTTATTCTAAGCTCAAACAGATAAAGATATTCCCTCAGACCAGCCTCAATGCAGACACATCTCCCACCGTTTAAAAAGCAGAGCAGACTCACGTGCCCAGACGTTCCTCGTGCTTTTTGCTGTCCTTTCCCCACACTTCAATGTCCAAAATGCCCATCCTGTCAGAGAAGTAGTGAAAGTCAAACTGTTCCTGCCACTGCGGATTTGCACTCTTACACAGTGTCTAGAAAACATGCAGTTATATTATTTATTTTCTTAAAATGGCATTCATTGCTACAGCAACTACACATTCATTTCATTTCTAAACAGCAGGAGATCATAATTATGGTTATGATTGCTCTTATAAAGTTAAACTTTTCTTTTTGGAAACGAAAGGGACTTCAAGGTTTCGGGAATTGGCAAAACATCATACTCGTTTAGCCGACTCCCCAGACTCACTAATGTATCCACCAAATTTGGAGAAACACTGTTATCCCAAAAGAAACCATAAATTTTATATATATATAAAACACATACTTTTGATATATATATATATTTATTATATAATATTTTTACACACATACAGTAATGACTATTGAGATATGCTCTCTATATAATATATCTCAATAGACATTTTACAGTTGTTCTCTCTTATGAAAGTTACTAATTGGTTAATCAAATGGAAGTAACATTTTTACTGGCACATCCATTCCGTGCTGGCTTAAGAACTATATGAATTAACACTCTGGGGTCTTAATTAACATCTGTCAGATGCATTACATGAGAAACCCGTAACCTGTAGGCCGCTGCCTATGTTTAAAACCAAGTTTACTGAATCCCGTCACCAGAATGAGAGGAAGACTATGAAATTCCACTGCAGCCAAACCTAAAAATTAACAAGCGTGGTCTGAAAACTCCACAAGTGTTCCTGTGTTCTCCGAGAGTGATTTCAAATTGCTTGTGTGTTTGATTCATTGGCAGGACTTTCATTTTTGTTTCAATTACACAGAGGTTCAATTTGTGAATAAAAAGTGAGCAAAAACGCAGGCCACTAAGTATCAGGACCTCAGGGCCAACTATTAAATCCTGGGGCCAAGTATCCCCGTGTGAGAAAACAGGGACTGCTCAGACCTCAGCTACAGCCAACATCACGTAACATCATTTACGCTGTTTTTCATCATCATTGGGCCTAAATATATCAGATCACGGCATTTTGAAACCATGAAGAAAAAAAAAAAAAAAAACTATTAGACCACAAATTAAGTGCAATATTCCCCAAGGGGGAACGTAGCAGATACTGGACTGATTCTACACTTCCCCTTAGTCTAAAAGGGTACGTGTGCTTCGTGATGAATAATTTTTCTATACATCCTTACCCTGACCCTGGATCGTTAAAGGAATCTTAGTGGAGAGCTGTGGTCATCCTGGATATGCTCACTGTGAGGTACAGCCTAAAACTGCCTGGTTAAAATAATTATCTGTATATTTCTGCTGTAGCTTGTCTTCAATTTTTTGCATTTCTTATAATAAACGATTCTTCAATATGAGCTTCAGTTCTCTACTCCTCGTGGAGTAAATGACATTTCATATTTGATTCTGCACTGAAAATTGTACAGCAGAGAAAACCTCTTGCCCCCCTAAATCATTTTCTAACCAGTCTGCTTCAGTTAAGTCCTCTACACTCGAAAGCCCAAACTGCAAATATCCTCAGGCCTATTTTCAAAATCTTCCACTGATGTTTTTCTTCCTATGTGGCTTTTGGCAAATGACTTAACTTTCAAGTACCCTAGTTCCCTCAATCCATAAAACATAGGAAATATTTCTGTCTGACAGTTATGTAAAACTAATTAATTACCATGGTTTGGAGACTAGTGTTTTTGAAATAAAAACCACACCAAATTACTGAGATTAAAAATTAAATGGAAGTTGGATCAGCAGAATAAGATGACTGATTTTTAAAGACGGCTAAAAAAAGTCATTACCTTTGGTCAAAACAAATCACTTTTAATACTTTTTAGATAGTTGAAAAAAAATCACAGCAAAAAAACCCCCAGCAGCACTAGACGTCTATTTTTAGTGTTCATACCAACAAGTTAGAGAAAGCCCGGAGTACATAATTTTGAAAACATGTTTAGTTAACTCAAATATTTTAATCCAACTATAACATATTATACCATTTTATTTTTATACGATTTTGAAAGCATTTAGTAATCCTTTTCCCTCATTCTCTGAAACATAGTTTGCTTATTTTCAAAACAAAAATAAGCCATGCATTCAAATCTATTATTTAATAAGCTTTCTCTAGCTTTAGTTTAGTATATTAAAATAGATTATACTAAGCAATCAAATATCCATATTAATAGACTGCACCTATACAATTATTTTGTTTTCTGGGTTGCTCCTAATACAGTTAGGAGGGTTAAAAATAAATTCTGTTCTTGCGAAGTTTAGAGTGGGAAAATATTTTTTTCCATTGTTTTAATCTTAAAGATATTGTTCTCCTTAAGGAACTGACGGAACTTACCTTACTTTTATACCTCTGATCTCCTAGTTTTAACTGGACAAACATCTCTGTCATGCTTCCTCCTGAGACATTCTTTCCTTCCAACAAAGTTATACTTATAATCCCGTTCCAGAGTTGGTTCTTTTTCAAGAACTCTGAGAGCCGGAGGTTGCGTATCAAAGAGGGCTAAAGCAAAAAATAAAGATAACATATAAACTTGCTGATAATTCTTGAGTGAGACTTTGGTGATCAGAGGAATTCCAGCTTTCAATATTTGATTAGAAATAGCACTCCCTGCCTGGTAAAAGTGTTAATATTCTTCACTGGCTTTGCAAACCTGCAATCACAGTTATGTGACTTCCTTCTCAAGCATTGGACTTGAAACATATAGCAAAGCATGAATTTGAACAACACTTGCATTTGGCACTGGCCTGTACTCCCACCTAGATGTGCTTTTTGGTAGGAATCCTTCAGCTGGGCCTTTGCTATTTTAATAGTAGGAAGGGAAGAAAGGCATTCTGGGAAATAGAGATATAAGAACCAGGCATTGCTTTTCAGGGAAACAAAATACCTCTGGGCATTTAGAAATTATGGTTTTGAATTTATCCTTCACACTCGAATCTGTCCCCACTTCCCTTTATTCCTTGGGCTATGACTAAAAAGCCTAACACCACTGTGAGATTCACAACTCCAGATATAGCCTGCAATCGGCTAGCCAGCCAAATGAGCTTTGCAGAGGGAAGGCTGCGTAAAGAACACAGCCCCATGGCTGGGACCCAGTAGGGGTTCAGTAACTTGTTACCTTATTTTTGTTTCCTTTTCTACATTGTATTACTCACACACACCTTAAACAGAATATAGAAAAAGGCAAATATCCCCTATTATTAAATTATAAAGAGGCCAAGCACACTTTATTTTTAATTTCCATTATGTAAATTTTCGAACACACACAAAGGTAGAACAACAAACCTCCATGTGCTTATTTATCAGATTCGACATTTTGTCAACCTTATTTCACCTATCCCTTCACTATATTTTTTTCTGCCTGAAATATTTGAAAGCAAAATCCTTGTTTGTTTTTACATAAGAACCATGCTATGATCACACTCAACACAAGTAACCGTGATTCCTTTAATACTGTTAAATGCCCTGAAGGTCTCAACAGTGTCTTTTTATGGTTAGTTAGTTTGTTTGAGTGAGGATCCCCGACATGATCTGCAGGCTGCATTCAGTTCAGGCTGCGGAGTTCATTCACGTTCTCCGTTCAATAAGTGAAATGGCACAGTGTGGACGGCTTGATTTGAGGGAGAAACAAATGGGCTGAAGAAGGTAGATGGTGTCGAGTATCATAGTAAAGCAATGAATTTCTAACACTATATATTCATTCCTGTCATCTGCTCACTCTATCTTCGAGATCATTTAGGCATCAATTTGCTCGGCTTGATGACCAGTTAGTCACAATTTATCACAACAAACAGTATGTCAGTGCCATGTTAATTACATGTCAGCTTACCTCATCCAACACACGTCACTCCACCACCCTTAATAAATGATGCAATAATGCCAAGTGTTTGGATCATTTTATGATTTCCTTAAACAAAATATTTTTAAGGAAATCTGTACTCCCAACTTCATATCTGTGTTGCTTTTCTCTTGAAATTGGAATTCACACAAATGCACATACACACACACACACACAAATGCACACATACACACAGGGGTTTGGAGGTGCTGAAACAGAGCAGGAAAGGGAGATGGGAAAATAAGTAATTTTTTAAAAAAAGAAAAAAACCCTCTCCTCTGGAAAACATGAACAATTCTTTCTCTAACTTCTATTTGCAGTTGGGTTGTGGACAGAATATATTCAATAATGAAGGTGTATGAAATAAAGTTAAGTAATTTTATATTTGCTAAAAACAATGCACACCATCACAATATATAGACAGATACACATATAAATATGTATATAATCTATATGTGTGCATGCAGATACACTTAATACATTCTCTAGCTTAGTAAGCACACGGGCTGAAAATTTCTATCTTTAAAAAGAAAATGAGATTTTGATTCATATATCCTGCTGCACTTTCCGTTTTTATGTTTTTTTCTTCTTAAAGTTCGACTTGCCAACCAACAAGCTGAAGCATGACCTGTCCCATGGCTATGCTTCAAAGTTCCGACAGATATATTCCTCCCTAAACACTGCAACTATTTCAAAATCCTTTTTATAAAGAAGGGAGTAATGTCCACAAGGGATCAAAGGGCATCCTACAGTCTGGCAATTGCCTAAGAAAAATGGCAGTGCTTCCATGAAATATGCCCTAAAATAATTTTGCGGCTTGGTATGTCCTAATTTCAAATTGGATGTTTATCTTGGAAAGGCTTCTAACTTGTCCATAAAACAGCCCCACTTAGCTCTATGAGCTCTGTGAAAATGGAATCCAAAGCTGGTTATTAAGGGGGCCCAGAGATAGGTTCCATATGGCGGAACAGCATGGGAGGGCAAGGCAAAGGCCTACATCAGGCCCGGCTTGGCTGGAGCTCCTGATCTATCCACGGACACTCGTTGCGTTACACTCTAACATCTGGATTATTGCTTGCAATGTCCCTGGGAAATATCCACTTTCCATCAAAGCTTTTATCTATCTCAGTCGGACTTTGAACATTTTAGTATTTAACACAGTCATGTTTGATGTGATGGACTTGCTCTTTGCTGTCCAAGATTTTGTTTTTTTTTCCTTACTAAAAGCGGGGTAGGAAAAGAGAAGTATTTATTGCACAGTTCACAGATAGAAAAGGACACAGGACCATTATTCTACTTATTTCACCCTAAGTATTTCTGCAAAGCCCACTATAAGGTTATGTCCAAAAAAAGTTTCATTTGCGAGCGATGCAGTCTAGGATATGAGTATGAGCTTTAAAGGCGTTTCTTAACTACTTTCGCATTTCTCTTCCACCCTTGAGACTTGTGATGAGGCTTAAGAGCAGGGTCTGTGGTTGTGGGCGGCATCCGGGCCATCCCATGTGTGCACTGATGCAGATCTGGGCTATCCAAATCTTTTGTGCTTGTCAAAAGCTCCCTTTCTCCCCACCATAAATCGACTCCTCCGCACTCACTCTGTTAGCTCAATAGCTCAGGTTTTCATGACCGTGCCCGAGCCCTATATGTGAAATTTGTCATCTTAATGCAGCTTGGAATGTGAAAGGAGAGAAGGAAATGACCCATCAAAAGGAGAAACCCACCCCACCTGAGCTGAAACAAACACCAGGAGATAGAGCAAAGCTTCTGGGTCCCGACCCTAATTTCTCAGCAGACATAATGGATAAAATATAGTACATCAGGGTTTTGTTATTTTTCTCCTTCCTCCCAGAGGATCAGAACCTTTTACTATTTCTACGTGGATTCATTCATAGGCTCTCTTCCTTGGCCCTCACCCCACCAAATCCACACCCAGAAAAAGTGACTTTCTTTTGAAACATGCAACTTAGTTATGACTAGTGAAAACAAGGTGTGATATTTAACTTTGAAACATATTAGCTTTTGTAAAAATGAAACAGATTCCAAAACATTAATATGCTTCCAGGTCACGAAAATTTCACAGGAAGGAAGGGAAGAAAGGGAGAAAGACTGAAAGTATAGGCTGTGGAGGGTCTGCTCACTTCCAACAGGTGCAGAATTCTCAGGAGTTTTTGATCTAGGAATAGACTCTCAAAACAGTGAATAGATTTTCCTTCCTGGGACATAAAAAACAGATTGCAGCTTGGCCACATGCATTATTTGAGGATTTTGGCCAAGTGGCATGCTGTGGAGACAGCAACGTGGACTCCAGTACCCTGATTCCCGATGTGGCTACAAAGGAAACCCTGGGATAGTGGACCTGTCAGCTCAATGCCTCCTGTCCGTCCCAAGCCAGGGAGAATAGCAGAGAGGTCAGAAGTAAAGAAGGATCCTGATAGGAGGGCACAGAGTCCAGAAGCTGGGGCCATAGCCTGCAGTTATCAAAAGCAATGTTATATTCAGTGATGCCACTGTCCATAACTAACTATGCTGACCAATACCACGGGGTAACAATTCAAAGCACTCCCTTGGGTGACAAAAAAACACCAAAACATTAAAAAAAAAAATTAAAATTAAAAATAGGGGCGGGACTTCCCTGGAGGTCCAGTGGTTGAGGCTCCGTGCTCCCAATGCAGGGGCCCCGGGTTTGATCCCTGGGCAGGGAACTAGATCCCACATGCATGCCGCAACTGAGAGTCTGCATGCTGCAACTAAGACCTGGTGCAGCAAAATAAATTAATAAATAAATATTAAAAAAAAAAATAGGGGCATTGAGAAAATGTTTTTACAAGGTTTTTGTGCTAGGCCTACCTTACTGGTGCCAATTACTGTATGGGTACCTTTTAGATCATCTCAGTGATGGAGATTTAAAAGTATGTGTTCCGATGTTGCCAATCCATCTTATTTTGACTCTCATTAATTATTTTTCCTGAGTCATTGTGAGAAAGTAGGGAGTCAAGGAGACAAATGCATGAAAAAAAAGAAAGGAACTAACTTTGTAAGCAAAATGAGGAGTAAAGCAAGATTCCAACTATGTTGGCAATGCTTAGAAAAACTAAGGGAGAACATTCAGTCTATAAAAGCTTTCCCTGAAATATTCCTTCCAAGTTTTTTCAACATGTAAAACTACTTCTCATTGTCAACAGCTTTTATAGCATGACATGAGAAGATCCATACGTTCATGCAACAGGCTTCCAGAAAGCTGCTACTCGACAGCTCCTTATATCATCTGAAGAGAACCCTGTAGGCATAAATTCTCCTAGAACTACACAAACATTTTTGCATAGGATATAAAGGAAGCCTTTTAAATTTCCCACAGGGGAATGGACATGAAAGATGAGATTTATATTTATAGATGAAAACTATTTCACAGTCCCAAGGATATGAATAATCTGTGTGCACAAAGACATTAGCTATAAAAGGATTATATTAATTTTTTTTAATTAAAAGGGAATATCCTCACTCCATGTTTGAACTTAAAAATAAAAATTAGACTAAGAGAAGATTTCTAAAAATCGATAAAGTCCATAAATACCCAATGATTCTCAGGGTTCTGGACTGAGGGGGGAAAAAAATGAAGGCCATGTGATTCAACAAGGTTTTCCTTTTTGCCCTGACCTCTAGAAAG